CAGGTAAGATTGGGGCCTGCTGCTCATTTCCCCAGTTCTGTACTGGGTTTTTGACTGCTTGAGTTTACATGGGTCTTGTGCATGCTGACACCATTTCTGTAGTTTCATATGAGCAAGGTTCCACGAGCCTGTAAGACTCTGTCTCGATACTGTCATGCAACTAGAAAAAACAAAACAACAACAACAAAAAACTGAAGGCAGCGGGGGGGGGGGAGCAGTATATGCTGGGTGAGGTGGCACACAACTGTAATCTAGTACCTGGGAGGTGGAGACAGGAGGGTCACAAGTTCAAGCCCAGCCTGGGCTAATAGGGGGCTCCTGTCTCAGGAAAATGAGACAAAGCAGTGTCACTTCAGACTAAGGAGTACACCTCAAGAGCCCATGGACTACTGGAAGTGACACTAGTGCCAGACCCTGGTGCACTGTTTTTTCCTGTGCACGTATGTCTATAGTAATGTGTTAGTTAGGCAGCAGCGGGAGTACCTGATAAGACAGAAGTTTCAGCAGCACACTGTGAGATACGCTGGGAAAGTGGCCTCTTTCAGAATGCCTTCCTGTGCTGAAGTCATGCTTGTGACTAAGGAGACCCTGCACAGGCACTGTGATAGCCTGGGTGAGGCTGAACTAGAAGTGCACAGGTAACGCCTTGTGTGGATTGGGGCTTCTGTGGTAGTAAGTTGAAGGCCATCCCTTCTTCCTCGCATGTGTAGCCTCTTGAGTGGTGGCTGGAGTTTGGGGGAAAAGGAAGGAACTTAGACCCCTTATCTCAAGGATCAGGTAGGTGGCTCATACCATTGTACTCCCTCTGTCTCTGTCTTTTAGCCCCAGATCTGGGAGCACCCCTCAGGATGTCCTTTGATTTGGGATGTGGCCGTGTATAGGTGGGTGTCCTGGTGGGTGGAGCTGAGGATGAGGAGCTGTGGACTGGGCATAGGGCTACAGAGTGATTACCCTAGTCACAGCAGGGGAAAGGCACTGGCCTCCTGTACAGCCAGGTCTCTGAACCTAGGGGTCCCACTGATACCAGACAGGCCTGTAGAGAACTACCTGCAAAGCCAAGCTGCATGTGCAGGGTGAGTACCTGTGTTTCATAGGCTTGTCTGATGTTCTAGCTCTCGGGTCTAAGACTTGGCACTTTTCATCATCCCAGGAGTTGGTGTTTCTGCACAGAGCTTCCCCCAAACCCTTATCTGAAGACAGGCATCCCAGCTTGTCCAGCATGAGGTGTGTCAGCACAATGGTCCAGGCTGATAGATAAAAAGTAACTGTATGACGAATAGGGTTGATCAGGAGAAAGTAGAATTTATTAGCAAAGGAACACATGGGTCAGATTCCCTTCCAGGCAGGTAAAATGTCTGCTCAGGTGGTAAGCTGGGGTCTTTTAAGGGTGAGTCTTCTGCTTCCTGCAGAAGGTGGGAAGATGTATTTTTTTAAAGTTGGGTGGGTGGGGAGTGGGAGAGCGGATCTGTTAAAACCTGTCCTCTTTAGAGATCAAAGGGGAAGCCTGCTGTGTTGGCCAAACAGTGGAGAAAAGTCTGCTTCTCTTGACTTCAAAGACTAAGGTGCTTATCAGCTAGGTTCCCTTTTCTCAGGAGCATGAGAAGTCCTTGAGACCCTGCTGGTGAGGGGGCAGGGCTATCTGAACCTTAACACAGGCCATCTGTTCTTTGTCATGGACCCTGATGCCATGCATTCCCAAGGCCTCCATCTAGTGGGTCCTTTGTGGACTCTAGACCTGGGCTTCAACTGTCCTGCTTTTCTGTGGCCCGTTATACCAGTTGGACAGCATTCTTCCTCAGTCTTTCATACTTCTTCTCTTCTGTCTTTCTCTCTTTGAAACAGGGTCTTGCTAAAATCTCTGATTGGTCAGGAACTTGCTGGGATTGCAGAAGTGTGCCTTACTGCTCAGCTAGTTCGTTCTTTTTCGTTTGGGGTTGTTTGCAGGGCCAACCTGGCCTCCATGGTGGTTTATAACAAAGGGTGACACTTCCCTACCTCCCCTCAGCAGATGTGGTTTTCCTGCATGCTGTTGCTAGTGGTAGATGCTTTTGACACTTGTCCTTAATTTGTAATTGGAAGCAAACAGGTGGAGTTTCAGTATGTATGATGTAGAACATATACATGTTCATTATGGGAAACATGAAGAATGACAGGTTATAAAGTTCAAAATCATAGCTACCTGGTGACCACACAGCTGCCTTTGTGGCTCTTCCCTGGCTTGACATTAGAACTCTGGGGCTCTGCCTTGTCCAGGGCAGGCAAGGTGCTAAGGTTGAGCCTAGGTGTAAAGCTATGAGGTTGCAAAGATGTGGATGTCCCTGGGAGAGGGCTAGGGTGGGGCACTCCTGGGAAGAAAGACTGTGCTTGGCCCTGACCCAGCCTGTGCACAGCAGTCAGATCTAATGATTTTTGGGTGGTATTGAGCTAGCTGGGCTTCCGGGGGAAAGTGGAGAGTGCCATGGATTAATGTAATCCTCCCCTTGGAGACCATCTCAGTGCCCTGAAGTTCAGAGCAGAAGTTTAGCATGACTATTTTTGGAAGCCAGTCCAAGCTTCTGTGTAATTGGGCCAAGGTCATACAGTACTTCTCTTCAGATCTTCCCTGTCACTCCCGCTCAGTCCTCTCCCTCTGCTGAGCCTCTGGTAGAACTGGGGCCCTGACCACCTGTGTGCCCCCTTTCCCAAAGAGCCAGCATGTAATCCTTGAGTGTGCGAGGTACAGCAGCAGAGTTGAAGATTCTAGGTCAGCCTGGGGTACTGAGTGAGATCTTGTCTCAGTCCACCACTAGGTTGGGAGTGGAGATCCAGGCTGGGAGTGGAGGTTCAGGAAATCCCAGCATTCCAGGCAGAGGCAAGCAGATCTCTGAGATGAGTTGGAGACCAGCCTCATCTACACAGAGTTCTAGGCCAGCCAGGGATACAAAGTAAGACCTTGTCTCAAACAACAAACAACATCCCCCTCCAACAACATACAAACAAAAACCAACCAAAAAAAAAAAAAAGGAAAAGAGCAAATGGCAGAAAGGATCCAGAGGCTCAAAGAAGAGTATCAAAAAGAACGCTTATTTTGTTTATTATTTATGACTCTGTCTCAACCAAAATGTTAAATGAACTTGGCTAGCTCATCCCGTCATGACAGATGTCCACTGTGTGTGAACTACATGAATGGGGCACTGTTGGTGTGCAATGAATGTGACACATTTTTCTATTTTCTCATAGATTACTGGATGACTTAATGATTTGTTACATAAATTAAGTATTAAAATTTATAACAGCACAGGATGGAGAGAGAGATGGCTCAGTGGTTAAGAATACTGGCTGCTCTTGCAAAGGATCCAGGTTTAGTTCCTAGAACTCACATGGTGGTTAACATCATCTGTAATTCCAGTTCCAGGGGATCTGATACCCTCTTATGGCCCGAGGCATTGCACACATGCGTTTTCTTACATTCATGAAGGCAAAACACACATATACACACACAAACAAAAAAGCACATGCCTTTAATCCCAGCACTTTGGAGGCAGAGGCAGGTAGATCTCTGAGTTTGAGGCCAGCCTGGTCTACATAGTGAGTTCCACACTAGCTGGGGCTACAGTGAGATCCTGACTCAAAAAGACCAAAAAACAAACAAAACAAAACAAAACAAAAACCCAACACAAAACAAAAAAAACAAACTGGTAACAAATCACATTAACAAGTTAAACTAAATAGAAGGGCTAGTGAGAGGCTCAGTGAGTGACCACTTGCCACTGATCCTGATGACCTGAGGTTTTTGGTGTTTTTTTAATTTTGTGTGTGTGAGTGTATTGCTTGCATGTACGTAGGTGCACCCATGTTGTGCAATGCCCCAGGAGATCAGAAGAGGGGGTCAGATCCCCTGGAACTGGAGTTATGGACAGTTGTTACCCTCACGTGGGTGCTGGGAATTGAACCCGGGTCCTTTGCAAGAGCAGTCAGTGCTATTAACCGCTGAGCTGTCTCTCTGGCCCCCTGATGACCTCAGTTTTATCCCCAGGACCCACATGGTGGAAGGAAAACCAGCTCCAGAAAGTTGTCCCCTGACCTCTACCTGGAGTATGTTGTGGCTCACATGCCTGTACACAATGAATAAATAGTTGTAAAATTTTAAAGTAATGGAATTTTAGTAAGAAACCCGAAAGTATTTTGCTAAGACAGCTGTCTTGTATGTCTTTAATCCCAGAATTCAGAAGGCAGAGGTGGGGGAACTCTGTGAGTTCAAGGCTTTCATGGTCTACACAGTGAGTTCCAGGCCAGCCAGGGCTACATAGTGGGACTCTGTCTCAAAACAAAACAAAAACAAACAGAAGAAATACTATTGGAAGCATTTGTCAGTGACTGTGAATTTTATTCTTATTATTGTAACGTAAAATCTACCACCCTAACCCCTCCCTCCCTTGTCCCTCCTATATGCCCTCCCTCCCTCATATAACCCAGGCTAGTCTCAAACTCAGTATGTAGGCAAGTGCTACATCTCCCAAGTGCTGAGATTACAGGTGTGTGCCACCAGGCCTAGTTTTGTACAGTACTAGGGATCAAATTCCAGGCTTCATGTATGCTAGGCAAGTACTCTACCAGCAGAGCTACAACCCCAGCCCCCAGAACTTTTACAGGAAACCAAGCTGGACTGTCCCCATTGACCACTAACTTACATTTCCCCCATCCAGCCCAGCTCTGACTCATGGCCATGGGACTTCATGGAAGTACAATCACACATTATCTCACTAAGTTGATGTCCTCAAAGCTCCTCCATGGCATAGCTTAGGTCAGAATTTCCTTTCTCAGGTGACTGAGTCCTTTTTAGGGGCCTTTCCTTTTGAAACAGGGTCTCATGAAGTTATCTTGGTCAGCTTTGATCTTACTCTCTAGCTCAATCTGGCACTGAACTTGTGATCCTCCTGCCTCAGCCTCCCAAGTAACTGAGAGCATGAGTTTATGTCATTTGAGTCAATTCCTCTTTTCTTTTCCCCACTGTGTGGCAGATTACTACAGCCCAGCTATGCTGGGCTTGAAGACAGATCAAGAGGTCCTGGCAGAGCTAGTGAGGATGAAGCTGCCAGCAGTTGCAGCCTTAATGGATGACCATGGTGTGTTGTGGACCTTGCTGGTGTCCCGCTGGTTCATCTGCCTGTTCGTGGACATCCTACCTGTGGAGGTGAGCACCTTGATCAACCTCAGGAAATGTGTGGGCTGCTGTGGAAGTGATAAGGCATTTCTGTGTCTCTACAGACCGTGCTTCGAATCTGGGACTGTTTGTTTAACGAAGGCTCCAAAATCATCTTCCGGGTTGCTCTGACCTTAATTAAGCAACACCAGGAGTTTATATTGGAAGCTAACAGTGTTCCAGATATTTGTGACAAGTTCAAGCAGATTACCAAAGGGGACTTTGTGACCGAGTGTCACACATTCATGCAGGTGAGTTCTGGGTTACTTGATCTGTATGTTGGCTCTGGAGGGCTCTACCCCACCCAGCAGTCATGCCATGCGTCCTGACTCCCCCTCTGGGTCTCTCTCCCCATGAAGGACTCTCTCCTTCTTTGAGCTATGGCCATTGTTGATCTGGAATCCAGTGGCAGCTGTCCCTCTTTCTCTCCTCTCATGCATCTGCAAAGCTGCGAACCATTGGCTGAGGGGACGGCACAGTCCCTCTGACTTCATGTCTGAGGCCACTGTTGTCCACCTGGAAGGGTTGTTCTGGTTCACTCTGGCTGGAGGTTCTAAAATGAGAACACAGACCTGCTGACCTAGACTCTGGTTTCCTTAGGGCTAGGGAGAGAGGGAGGCCTGTCAGTGAGGCTTCCATATCTTCAGCTAGCAGAGTCTAGCTCCAGGCTCTGCTGACCACTAGCCTTCAACAGGCCAGAACCCCCTACTCTGGGGGGTTGTAGTCTTCCTAGGAGGGCAGCTCATGAGGCCAAGGACTGTCACTGGGTCCTGACTGGTAGACTGTATGAACCAACTCAGAAGCTGCTAAGTGTAAGGTAGCAGTAAGGCTGGGCAAGGCCTAGGCTGGAGGATGAGGGGCCAGCAGAGCCCATAGCTGAGTGACCCTGGCAAGCTCTAGTGCATGGCAGAATCTGAGGGGTCCTTTCACATTTTTTTTTTTTTTTTGAGACAGGGGTTCCCTGTAGCTCTAGCTGGCCTTGAACTCATAGAGAAAAAAGCTTTGAGACAAGTTTTTTCACTATGAAGCTCTGGCTGGCCTGGAACTTGCTGGGTAGACCAGGCTGGCCCAAACCTCTCAGAGATCAGACTGTCTCTGCCTCCTAGGTACTGGGGTTAAAGGCATGTGCCACCATGCCCCCAGCACATTTAAACTTTTTTTGGGGGGGGTGTCTTTTTGAGACAGGGTCTCCCTGTAGCCCCAGCTGTCCTGAAACTCGCTATGTAGACCAGGCTGGTCTCGAACTCACAAAGATGCACCTACCTCTGCCTCCCAAGTGCTGGGATTAAAGGCGTGCGCCACCACACCTGGCTCTTTTAATTTAAAATATTTTATTTATGCTGGACACCTGGTGGTGCACACCTTTAATCCCAGTGCTCCGGAGACAGAGGCAGGTGAATCTCTTTGAGTTTGGTCTATATAGCCAGTTTCAGGCCCACTGGGGCTACAGGGAGACCCTGTCTCAATAAGACAACGTATTTTATTATTTTTATGTGTATGAGCGTATTGCTGGCATGTATGTAAGTGCACCGAGTCATGCAGTGCCCAAAGAGGTCAGGAGAGGCCATCAGATCCCCTGGACCTGGAGTTATGAACAGTTGTTAGCCACCATGTGGGTGCCGGGAACTGAACCTGGGTCCTTTTGCGAGAACAGCCAGTGCTCTTAACTGCTGAACCATCTCTCCAGCCTGTTTTTGTGTGTGTGTGTGTGTCTATGTGCCATATGAGTGACTGTGGGGGCCAGAAGAGGGCGTTGGATCCCTTGGAGCTGGGGTTACAGGGGATTGTGAGCCCCCTGATGTGGGTGATAAGAACTGAATTTGAGTCTTCTACAAGAGCATCAAGTGCCCTCTTTTTTTTTTTTTTCTTTTTAAAGACAGGATCTCCCTGTAGCCCCAGCTGGCCTGGAACTCACAGAAATCCACCTGCTTCTGCTTCCAGAGTGCTTCGACTAAAGGCATGCGCCACCACACCCAGCCCACGTTTAAACTTATTTTGAAATAATTACAAATTCAGATGATGTGGCAAAGGTCTTTGGGGCTCCGCTCCTCCACTTTGGTTAGCAACCCAGAAAGAAGGCACTGGTGCTGGAGCAGTGGATGCTGCTGGTGAGTGAGTAGCAGTGTTCAGGATGCACAGCTGCACTGGGCTAGGAAAGCTGTGACTGGCTTTCTCTCTACTGCTCTTGGCTACAGGTGGCACCAGGAAGTGGCCTGGGTGCAGGGAGAGTGGACCTTGACCATGAGTTTAGACTAGGTGCTGAGCTTCTGCATTGTAGCATGCTCAGGCAGAGGCCACTCCACTGCTGTCTACTGTCTAGAGCACAGCCAAGGAGGTGTACATACAGCTTCACATACAAACCTACCTGTGGAGTTCTCTACATTGGGAAAGCTTGTCTACTGGAACTGGCTGTGACTACCAGGGACAAGAGCTGCCTCCAGAGGCCTGGCGCCCACCCTGAGGTTGTGATTGGGCCAGAGGATATTCTCATGGAAATCTAAGCAGGTGGCAGGACTGTGGCCTCAGGCAGGCCTGGTTGGGACTAGAGCCTGGAGAGACCCTGCAGGTTATGAGGGAAATGTGATGGTTGCCAGAGGCTTTGTCCAGAGGAATTGGAGACAAGAAGTCTCCAGCCTGAGTTGAAGGTCCCAGCAGCAGTGGTCAGAGGAGACTTCACTCTCTGTCCACCGTGAAATGAAGGCAGAAGGCCTTCGGAAGCCTGCTGCTGGCAAGACAGACCATCAGGGCATAAACTTCAGTGTGTGTGCCTTGTGAGTTTCCTCACACACCTGGGTTGGTTCTGGCTAGCACTGGCCAAAGTGGGTGCAGTTTCCTCAGTGGGAGACAGGAACCTGTGGTGGTACCCAGCAGGGACCCTGGGAAATGACTCCATGGCCACTGTGTCCCACTTTTCACTTGGTTATGCCACCGAAGACAAGCCAGGGAGTTCTGGGTGTGGTGAAGCAGGCTTCTTGGAGTTGGTGCTTCATTCAAAAGTTAAATATAGCAGCAGCATGCAATCCTGGGCTTCCCCAGAACCAGGATTCAGGGTGCAGAGGATTTGTCCCCGGCTGGACAATTTAAATTTGCATGAGAGTGAACCAAGGAACAGTTTGAGGTTGCTTGAGGGAGACAAGGTGAGGGGGCTGACTCCCTTAGGAGAGATTCCCAAGGATTGCCTCCAGATCTGCAGGCAGGTCTTTCTCTACATGAAGCGCAACCTACTCCCAAGTCACTGTGCAGGAAGGCTCCTTGGCATGGAGTGGTTGCCACACAGTTCCTGCTCCCATGAAGGCAGTGCTATAAAATCACTGTGTTCTGTGCTTTTCAGTTATCTTTGGAGTCATAAATTAAATAACACATTTCAGTAAGATGGCTCATCAAATGAAGGTACTTGTCACCATGCCTGCCATCTTTTGAGTTTGGTTCCTGGAACCAAGACAGCCTCTCTTAGTGCTTCTTGGAGAGTAATTAGATTCTTCTCTCAGAAGTTGGAATGATTCCTCCCATTGTACATTCTACAGGCTTAGGGCCCGTATGTTCTCCCCACACAGGCCCTGATATGCATGGGCTACATTTATGGGTAGAGGTTTAAGTATGCTCTATGTGATGGACCTTGGGTCAGGTTAGGTTTGGATGCTAGATGAGAACAATCTCAGAAGCTTTCCTGTGGTGATTAGTTTGCTCTTAAGGACACAGCATCAGGAATGCCCAGGCCCACTTACCATCACCTGAAGAGCTGGCTGGTCCCTGTTCACCTGGCATTCCTGTGGCATTTCATCATCCACTCCTGTGGATGGCTATGGCAGGGCCAGAAGCTCCCTAGTCATTCCAGACCATTGCCAGAACCAGACCCTGAGCAACAACCCCAGAAACCCACAAGGATGCAGATTCAGCTAAGCAGAGCTACACATGTCCCCCAGGGTCCTGTTGCTTTGCATCTGTACCTCAAGGTTGCAGCTGTCAGTATTCTGACCCTGAATTTGCAGAAACCAAAGACCAAGTGAATTCAACACTATGGAAGTCTCAGGGTAAGCCCATCTAATGAAAGAATCTGTGCTGCCATGCCCTCTTGGAGACTGAATCCTCACACCAGGCCTTAACAAGCCCATCCCCCAAAAGCCCTATTACCCTCACTGGTGTGTCAAGTACACATCAGGAACAGCCGAATTCTGTACACAGGTGAGCCGCTTGCAGTTAGCCAGCTATGTATGTGCACACACGTGTGCTGAGGCCTGAGGACATCCTCTGTTAAGTGCCATCCACCTTATTTTCTGAGATAGGAGCTTGCCAATTAGACTAGCCTGGCTGGCCATTGAGCCCCAGGGAGCCTGCCTTTCCAGTGCTGAGATTATAAGCCTATGTCACCACTTCTGGCTTTTTAAAATGTGGGTTCTTGGGATCAAATGCAGGTCCTCATGCATATTAAGCATTTTGCCAACCTTCACCTAAATTAAGAAGGGATGCCCAGCTGTGTAGCATCTGAGTCTGCATGCTCTTAGCACACCTATAGTGTAGCTTCCTGTGCAAGCTGGCTGTGAGGAACATGGCTGGATGAAAATTAATTGCCTGTGGATACAGTATCCACTGTCCTGGCTTCCTGTAACTGGCTCTGCAGGAAAGGCTGGCAGTGCTTTGGGAAAGTCCCTGGTAAGCCTCAGTTTATTCTTCTGTTGGATCATGCTACATTACTGCCCAAAGTCTACAGTAGTGGGGTGACTGCTTTAACATGGAGCTCCAGAGGTATAGGTGGAAGCCTATCAGTGGGAAACAGGACTGCTATGTGCTGGGGCCTTTGGTCTGTCTGCTGGGTGCCAACTTTTGGGGGGGGACAGCCAAGGTAAAATGTGTTATTGGGTTTTTGTTTCTCCTCCAGAAAATATTCTCAGAACCAGGGAGCTTGTCCATGACGACCATCACCAGACTCCGAGAGAGCTGCCGAGCCTCACTGTTAGCACAGGGCTGAGTGCACAGTGTCCTGCTGCACTGCTGGCACAGCTCTTCCACAGTTGACACTTGACCAATTCCTACTGCTTTTCCTGTTCCTGTTGTAAATACTTAAAATCATAACTCTCTTAATGCTGAATTTTTTAAAGACAGATTTAAAATCATGATAGTTTGTAACTTTTCAGTTATCTTTGGAGTCATAAATTGATTTTGATCTAGAAATGACTCATCAAATAAAGGCATTTGCCACGGAGCCTGATGTCCCAAGTTTGGTTCCTAGAACCCGCATGTGAAAGGAAGAGAACACTCTTTCAAGCTATCCTCTGACCTCTACACACATGCTGTGTACACAAATCATTTCTGAGATGTCAGGAATATTCAGATGTGAAGTGTACATTTGTGTCAAATAAAGTATGTCAGCACTGTTTCAGTGTCAGTAACAAAGTTATAACAGTGGCTGTGGTGTGTGATTTCTTTATAGTGTTTTTTCTAAAGCAGCCCCACAGCTGTTCCCTGCTGGTGAGGGACAGAACACTTCCTGCCCAAAGAGTGTGTGGCCTATCTACCTTGGCAGGGCTGGCTTGAGGGGCAGGTGAGGCACAGGGCAGTCCACATTCTGAGCAGACTGTGATGACTGCTTCCAGTTAGGCTGGTCACAGTCTTGTCCTGCCTCTTGTCAGGAGACAAGCTCCTCAGCAGGCCAACTTTCCAAAGAGCCAAGGGGTCACACATCCTACCTCAGTGCCCCATACACATAGCACAGACTGACAGGCCATCAGAGGTACTTTCTCCCCTGGGGACAGGCCATTCACAAAACTGGGTCATCGGGTTCTGGTCACTGGCAGCTGCTATTAATTGCAAGTAGACACTGAGCCCTTTATCCTGTAGCCAGTCACAGTGAGGGTTTAGCACTATGTCATGCAAGACAGGCTGGGTCCCCTTGAAAGGACACCCTCCAGTGGCTGCAGCTTGATGGCCCCCAATCCTTCTGATGTACTGTGCATTACTACCCCATCCAGGAGTGAATGGGCTCAGATCTGTATTTTGTCACTACAGTTCAGGTCTGTTCTCAAGGAAAACAGTTTTATCTCTAAGGTATAGCTGGAGACTGGCTTCCTCAGCATTACCTGTGAAGCAGAGTACTGCAGTCTTCCGGTGCCAAGGGGAGTCCAGTCAGTCACATAGACTCAGTGAATCCCTTGAATATTCTTACCCACCCAGGCACACAGCTAGCTCCTTTCAGCTCAGCGGACTTCATGCTACTCTTTAGTTCTCAGACTGGGAAGGTGACACCTGAGAGCCTTTTATCCTCCAATTACTACAACACCCCCCTGAGGGGGGGGCGACAATGGACAACACACATCTCCCCCCTTCCCAAGTGCAGGAGTCCTAGGGTCTGGCCGAGAGGACCTGAGTGGCAGAAGTCAGGGAAGGGTCAAATTCCAGCACCACTGGGCAGGCCTCTCAGTGTATAGGGCCTTGCAGGATTCTCACTGTGTAGGATCTGGCTCCCAAAGCCACAGGCATGAATATAAGGTAGGCCCCCTGCTCTGTCTCCTAGGCCTAAAGAAGGGGGCTGGCACCCAATACTTTCAAGTGCGGAGATCTCATGTCATGGGCCTTTCTGGCTAGTCTTGAAGTAACTACAAGGGCATCCTCCTGCATCTGCCTCCAAGTTACTAGGATCATAGGCATGTGCTACATTCCAGGCCTCAAGGGTCTTTGAATCCGCTGCTGTGGTGACTGGAAATGAGGGTTTCACAGGCCTTTCACCTATCTCCCAAGCAAGCAGAGGATGCTAGTGAAGCTGCAGCAGCATGGCAGAGCCCACTGCCATTAACATTCTTCTGGACAGCCTGTGCCTCAGAGAACAAAAAGGAGGGGCTGTGGGAGCAGAGCCTCAGCGACTAAGCATTGGCCTCTTTTCTCCAGCTCGCCACATGTTTAATCTGTGACTGTGACATGGGTACAACTCATGTGGAGACTACACTCATGGCCAACATTCTCATTTAAGAGCTTCTAATCCCAGCACTGAGAGGCAGAACCAGGAGAATCAGCTTAAAGCGCCATCCCTCTGCTACACAGAAAGTTCCAGGCCAGCCTGAGCTACATTGACATCCTGTCTCAAAAAAGACCCATTTATGAGTTTATCTAGCATCTAGAACTATGATGAGCACATTTATTAAAAACAGACCCATGCTAGGCATGGCAGTGCATGCCTTTGATCCCAGCACTCGGGAGGCAGAGGCAAGCAGATCCTTCTGAGTTCAAGGCCAGTTCGGGGTATAGGGAGACCCTGTCTCAAAAAGATCAACCAATCCATACCTAGTTTTTCTCAAGTGCTGCCCAGAAGGCAGGCTATTCCAACACTCACTCCCAAACCCTGAGCACATGAGCAGCACCGCTGCCTCCCCCATGCTGAGCTCTCTTGGTGGCTCACAAAGTCCAAGGTCCAGACAGACAAAGAAGGAGACTTTTTATTAGCATTGTTACAGGCAATGCGTTACGTAAGCTGATCCTCAGTGTACAACCCACCCAAGCCGCAGAGGACAGGTTAGCAGTGTAAATCTATTATTGTACACAGTGCAGAAACAGGGCCACCCTGAACACCAACAGAAGACTGGAAATTACTTTACAAAAAGTAAATAAAAATAATGCCATTTTCTATTTAGAAAAGTGCCAGCTTGTGGGCAGCAGAGCACGGAAAACACTGGTGGTTATGCCCCCCAGTCAGAGAGCAGGCTGGGGCCCTCAACCAGGCCCCCAGGTCAGACAGCCCAATCTGAACATCCAGAGGTTCACCATTTGCTCACTTGCATGGCAGGCCTTCCCTGCTCTCCTATTTCTAGCTTCCTAAGTGTGCAGCCTAATGATCAGCCACCCTTATCAGGCCCAAGTGTTTGGACCAGAGATTCCCTTGTAAGGCTTAAATCTGAGTAAAGAATGAAGAAACCAAACACCAAATCTTAAAAAGTCAAATGAATGGAGCCCGTGCCAATTCAGAAAAGCACTCTCGCCCTCCTTAGAGCTCTACTTTGGTAATATTAACATTTAACCAGTTAGCAAAATTAACACCGTCATTTCAATAGTTACTCCTCTGTGCATAGTAAATGTTGCAAGATGAACTTCACATTTGATAAAGCAGATTTGAAAACGGTTTGCCAGAAAGTGTGCCTCCCTTTCACACCTATCTAAGGTCGGGGTCACAATAATAGGCCCCTGTGCGTCTGTGGCGCACCCGCCCACCCACCAGGCTAGATGGTCTGGTAGCCGGCGTGACTCCTCTTCCTGCCGATGAGGTAGGCGATGAGGACGATGAGGACCAGCCCTGCCAAGGCACCGCCCACAGCAATGGGGATCAACATGTTGTTCCCATCCAGCACACATTCTTCCACTGCAAGAAAGATGGACCAGTGCACTCAACCACAGGGCTTGCCCTTCTACCCACTCGTTCCTCTCTAGTCAGAGTGGAAAGGATGAGGCTAGTTCATCGTTATCTGGGAAGTCTACCCAGCTGAGAAATCACCAGCATGCTCCTCCCAGGTTAAAATGGAGGGTGCCAACCATTGTGGGTTGGGTTGGTCAGCTGTGTTGCACTTGGGCCTTGGGGTCCTCAGACACTAACCACTTCAGGGACCACTTTTAGAAAGGGAAACCAATGTCCCCAAACATGACCACCTGCCTCACTGAGGGCATCCTTGCCCCACACGGGGAAATCTCAAGCTGGGAAGAGGGGGTAAGTTCTCTGCCCTGACAGCCTGTACAGAAGCCAGCCAGCCAGCTCCCACACAACTACTTCTGCACTGTCATGATGGATGCTCATCTGTGTGCTACTTACCAGATCCAAACCTGTCACTTTCAACCTTGAAAGCCTGGATCTGAATGCTGAAAATATTCAAGGAAAATGCCTTGGTGACAAGGATCTGCTCCTCACTGCTACACTTGTATGAGTTCCCGATGGTGGCCTGCAGAGCTCTCAGTGAACTGTTGGCAGCTCTGAATGTGGGATCTGCAATGAGAGGAAGTCCAGTCATTACAGTCCACCCTGGGTGAGAAGCACATGAATTTTAAGGAGGGAGAAGGTATGTCTCACCTTTAGCATCCGGAAAAGTTGTGTTCAACTGGATTCCTTGCAGGAAAAACTGGCTAGAACTTGCATTCTGAAAGAGAGGACAACCCTTAGCCAGGAGATTCTCATTTATAGCAAACACAGTCAGTCATTGGTCAACTGACTTCTGGGTCTGTGGCACAAGAACAAAGCACAAATTTAGGTTAGCTCTTTCCAAGTTTTTTTCTTCTCCCTCCTTTCCCCGACTCCCCCTTTTCTAGACAGGGTCTCATTATATAGCCCAGCCAGGCCCTGAAGTCATGTTCTTCCTGAGCCTCTACCTCCCAAGTACATACAAGCATGTACCAGTACACCCAACTCCTCCCAGACGTAAGGTTATTCAATAAAAGTGAGACTATAGATGTTACTAAAAGTAAATAAATCTTTTCCAAATATACAGCAAAATTAAGATCTATTATAAGAAATAACTGTTAGCCAGGTGTGGTGGCACAGGCCTTTAGTCCAGCATTCAGGAGGCAGAGGCAAGTGGGATCTCTGTGAATTCAAGGCCAGCCTGGTCTACACAGTGAGTTTAGCTGGGGCTATAGGGAGATCTTGTCTCAAGACCAAAAAACAAAAACAAAAGAAAAACAAGAAACAACTGTTAATCAACTCATTTCCATGTTGTATTAATAAATTAATGTGGGCTGAGGTACAGTTTGGGGACACAGCACTCACCCAGCATGTATGAGGCTCTGGGCATGTACATTATCCAGCACCACAAAGTGGCATTTATAGTCTTCCTATTTTACTTTCCTAATTATGAATGATTCATTCCAGGAAACAGTAAAAAGCTATTACCTAGAAGCCATGTGGCAAAGCCTGACTCCATGTGGCCTGTGCAGGCTGGGGCTGCCCTGGGCTAAGTCCACTGTTCTTTGCAACTAAACTAACCACCAAGCCGACAATAGGCCCTCTCCAAATGTCTGCAAAATAAATGAGCTGGTGGGTATTTGCTGGTGAGAAGGAAGGGAACTTATGAAATCCTATTATACAGGGTGAGCAGAACAGTGAGTCACCTCCTCCCCAAGGAAGCTCTGTGACTGCTGGGCTCTTCTCCATGGTCATTCCAGCTTGCACCCTGACTGCCACCATACTGAGAGTATGAGAAAAGGGGGCAGAAGAGCAGTCCCGTGAGTGTACTCCAACTGATAAAGGAGAATAGAGCCTTACCATCCCAAACTCCAACACCAGGATACTCTTCGGGTACCATAGGTTCAGGGTCACCATGTGGGCGCTGCAGGTCCCATTAGATATGGTCTCATTTGAGTTAATGTTAAACACTCTGATCACAGTCTAAACAAGAAAAGCAAACAAGTTACCACTTTGGGCTCTGGGCCCCTCTCAAAAAAACCTGAAAACACCCTAACAGTAATGGGATGGATTCATCCAGCAAATAAATCAGAAGGAAGTCTGAATTCACCCCTGTGCAAACTGCTGGGTTTCCTAAACGGTGCCCACTTTTCAGACTGCTTTGACTGGCATGGGAAACTTAGATCCTGGCAGCCTCAACTAGTCCTTCTGCCTCAGCTTCCTGAGTAGTTGGGACTATAAGCACAAACAATCCTCTCCAGTTCAGCCATACACTGTAAGCCAGTTTCTCCCATCCCCATAGATACTGTTCCTATTAGGGGACAAACAAAATTTCAGAAGTTATAGAGTGTTTGAGGCTGGGTGTGGTGACGCATGCCTTTAATCCCAGCACTTGGGAGGCAGAGGCAGGTGGATCTCTGTGATTCCAAGGCTAGCCTGGACTACATAGCGAGTTTCACGAGAGCTGGGGCTGAAGGGAGACCCTGTCTCAAAAAGACCAAAACAACAGTGTTTGAGTGATAAAAGCTGAAGGAAAATGTGATGCTCCATCCACGATAAAGGCACTGCAGGTGATGGTGCACCACTACCCAGCAGACAAATGTAGCCCAAGCCACAGAGCAGTGGGCAGACTGCACATGGGTGCAGGTCAGCACTGGCTTTTGGTCTGCACAACTGATGGTGCACCTGAAGCCACATACCCCTGATGAAGCAAAAGCAAAGCCTTGACTCCCCCGTACCGAGTTGTCCTTCTGCAGGTAGGTGACGTTCAGCTGCAGTGCCATCATAGCCAGCAGGCAGGTTCCATTCTCACCACTCACGTTGTACCTGGACACTGAGGGGTTTGTGGGCACAAGTGGTGGCAAGGGGCTGGGTGGTGCAGTGGTTGGGGAAGGTTCATCTTGCTTGCAGCGTGTCTCTACAGGGACAGGAAAAAAAGGTACATGGGAAGGATGCTCAAAGTTCAGCTTGTTATAACTACACTAGCTACTGGAGTGCATCTCAGAAATGAAAACATGTCTCCGAACTCTGCAGAACACACCCCACCCCCAAATCATGGCAACTCTATCTTATGCCTTTGGAGAGCAGGACAAGGCCACATGCCCAGTAGGTTCTGAGCAGCAGACAGAGGACCCAGAGCACATCTGTCTACCTGTTTCCCCTCCTGGACATACTCTTCTCATCCTGGCCTTCCCAGTGGCACACAAACCCTCCAAGTGAAAGTCTTGCTGTCTGGGTCATGGCACATACAGCAATGTGTCAATTCAAGTAACCGCACTGAAATGCCACATATGAGGCACTAGCTAAAAACAAAATAGGATATCCTTGATAGGTCTTGGTCATGACCCAGCCAGGGCTACATAGTGATACTGTCTCAAAAGTAATAATGTAGTAAAGAGAGCCCTAAATGGAAAGAGCAGCTGAAGCTGCCCCATCAGGACACACAGATTCTAAAGAGTATTTACTTGGTGAAGCTTTAGGGTAAATTTCAATTCCCCTGTCACCCACTAGGGGATTTACTGAGATCCAGTACTCCAACATTTGTACAAAGAAAGCAGTACTTCCCTTTCCAAAGTGCACTTCTTTGTAAATTTAACTACCAGCCGGGCGTGGTAGCGCATGCCTTTAATCCCAGCAGAGGCAGGCGGATCTCTGTGAGTTCAAGGCCAGCCTGGTCTACATACTGAGTTCCAGGACAGCTGGGGCTATAGGGAGACCCTGTCTCAAAAAGACCAAAAAAACCCCCACAACTACCAGCACCCCCTTTCCCCCTTTCCCATGCCTCCCTGTATCCACCATCTCTGGTCTGTAAGGACTCTGTGGATCCCTGGATCTGGGAGCTTTCCCAGACCTGTCTTGATTAATGCATCTTTCAACTCTCAACAGAGAAGCTTCCTTATACAGCAGATGTGATTAACAAAGAGAAGTATGACTAGCCAATGTGCAGAGAGCAAGAGGCTGCAGAGTGCTTACTCCTGAATAGGACAAATATATCAATGATATCTGTCTCCCAAGGCTCAGGGATCATTGCAGAAGAGGGGGCAGAAAGATTTGAGAGCCAGAGGTGATGGATGACCACAAGGAAAGTTTTTCAGACAGTTGGTAAAGGGGGGGCAGGGGAAGCATGTACAATTCCCATGGAAACTCAAGCCAAACGATTTTAGCAGACATGGAAAAGTGGGCAAGAAACCCCAACCCTACTTGAGAACAATTTGCAACCTATGGCTGCTTGGAAAGAGAGATTCGCGTCTCATAAAAGTTGAGATTCGCCGGGCTCACGCCTTTAGTCCCAGCACTCGGGAGGCAGAGGCAGGCGGATCTCTCTCTGAGTTCGAGACCAGCCTGGTCTACATAGTGAGTTCCAGGCCAGTTGGGGCTACAGGGAGACCCTGTCTCAAAAGAGAGAGAGAGAGAGAGAGAGAGAGAGAGAGAGAGAGAGAGAGAGAGAGACTCTTGGTGGGTTGACCAAGCTCCAGTGAATAAACTCACACAAAAGAGAATTTGGGGTCACAAATTTGACTCTATGGGCATATACATATACATTTTATGAGTACAGGAAAACTGGTAGGAAGTTAGTAAGGGGGACTGTAGATATGGGAGGGGATCCAAATATGATCAAAATATATTGTATGAAATTTGAAAAATTCAATTAAAAGGAGAAAAAGAACTATAAAATGACAAAAGAGAGAAAGAAATTAAAATGACAAGCCAGGTATGGAATCACATGCCTGTAATTCCAGAACTCAGGAGGCTGAAGCAGGAAGAACAGTAGTTTGAGGTCAGCTTAAACTATCAAGAGTCTGTGTCTCAACAAAACAAAACAAGGGGGGGGGGAGTCCATAGAATGGGAGAAAACTATTTGTAATCATCTCTAATAACTTGTATCCATAATATTATAAAAATTCTTACACTATTAACACTAAAATGACAACCCGACTTAAAAACAGGCAGATTTGAATAAGAATATTCTTAAAGAAGCAATACAAATACCTAATAAAGACTAAAGAGGCTCAACATTGTTAGTTATCAAGGAAAACTAGATTTTTAAAAAAGTGAGAAATGACTTCTTATCCACAAGAATAAGAAACATCATCAGTTTCAGACAGCAAGTAAAGAAATGGAGCCTGGGGCTGGGGAGATGTCTCAGTGGTTAAGAACACTGACTGTTCTTGCAGAAGACCCAGGTTCGAATCCCAGCACCCACATGGCAGCTAACAACTGTCCGTAACTCCAGTTCCACGGGATCCAATGACCTCTTCAGTCCTCCTCAGGCACTGCAGGACACAGGTGCACGTCTTACATACATGCAGACAATACATGTATACACATTAAAAAAAAAACAAAAACTGGAGCCTTTATACATTGCTTATAGGGTTGAAAACTACTACAGTCACCGTGAAAAACAGTCTTAATATTTAACTCAAAATCTTTTAAAATTTACTTTTATGTATAGGAGAGTTTTACTTGTATGTATCTAAGTACACCCAGGTGTGCAATGCCTGGAGGCCAGAAAAGGGCGTGAGACCTCACTGGACCTGGAGTTACAGTTGTTAGCTGCCATGTGGGTGCTGAGAACTGCATGCAGCCAGTGCTCTTACTGAGCCATCTCTCCAGCCCTGACCTGTTGCAGCAATGTCTTAAGATGCTGGCCCAACAGCTCCACTTTTGATACTATGTATGCTCATATAAAAAAAAATTTATACACGGTGGCACAAGTCTTTAGTCCCAGCAGTTGGAAGGCAAAGAGCACTGGGAAGGCAAAGGCAGGTGGATCTCTGTGAGTTCCAGGCCAGCCTGGTCCACACAGTGAGTTCCAGGCCAGCTGGGGTTATAGGGAGACTGTCTCAAAAAAAAAAAAAAAAAAAAAAAGCCATACACAAATGTTTACTGTTGTGTTATTTATAAGTGCTGAAGTAGAAATAGCCCAAATGTCTGCTGACTGGATGAATAGACAAACATAATACAGCAATTATCCTTACAATGGATTATTAAAACAATAAAAGGAATAAAAGTATGTTGCAATATAGGTAAAGCTTAAAGGAATTATGCTAAATAAGAAACTTCTAGCCAGATGTGGTGGTCCACACCTTTAATCTCAGCACTTGGGAGGCAGAGGCAGACAGATCTCTGTGAGTTCAAGGCCAGCCTGGTCTACATAGTGAGTAGGACAGCTAGGGCTACAGTGAGACCCTGTCTCAAAAAGACCAAAAAAAAGAAACTTCTATAGTTAGTATCCGGAGTGTCCTACATAGGCACAGCTTGGTACTACTGGGAGTCACTAAGACTTTTAAGAGTTGGAGCCTGATGGAAAGATTTCAGGTCATTGGAAATGTGGTTTGGAAAGGAAGTAACAGTGGGTCTCAGGCCCTTCTCCTTCCTCTCTTCCAAGCCACAGGTCAATGGTTTTGCTCCACCCTGTGTTCCTGTCTTGTGCCTACCACAGGCCCCAAACAACAGAACCAATTAATCATGGACACAAACCTTTAAAATCCAGAGGCAAAAGAACCACCTTCAGACTTTATAAGTGATTACCTCAAATATTTTTATAATGGCAGAAAACTGACTAACTCAGACACAAAAGGCAGTACAGAAAACAGGTTAGTGATTTCTTGAAGGTAGGGGGCAAGAAAGGAATATAAGATTGGCTGCTAAAGCCAGGCGTGATGGTGCACGCCTTTATTCCCAGCACTTAGGAAGCAAAGGCAGGCGAATGAGTTTGAGGCCAGCCTTGTCCACTTAGGATTTCGAGGCCAGCTGGGGCTACAGGAGACCCTGTCTCAAAAAGGCCAAGAGGAAAGAAAAAAAAAAAGATTGGCTGCTAATAGATTACTCTATTTCTGGGGGGGATATATATGAAATGCCCCTCCACAGAGTAATAGTTAACATGAACTTGAATTATATCCAAGTGTGAGTTGTACAGTACACGAGCTGTACTTTTTTTTTTTTTTTTTTTTGGTCTTTTTGAGACAGGGTCTCCCCAGTAGCCCCAGCTGGCCTGGAACTCACTATGTAGACCAGGCTGTAGACCTCTAACTCACAGAGATTTGCCTGCCTCGGCCTCCTGAGTGCTGGGATTAAAGGCGTGCACCACCTGCCTGGCTGTGAGCTGTATCTTAATAGTCATTAAAAAACAAACAAAACTACCAGGGCTGGAGAGATGGTTCAGTGGTTAAGAGAGCTGGCTTCTCTTGCAGAGGACCCATTGTTCAGATCCCAGCACCCACATCAGTTGGCTTACAACCACCTGTAACCCATGCATGTATGGGCTGCATATGCCTAAATACACACACATCACGCATTAATACTAAATTTATTTAAAAGTACCTAACTACAGGGACTGGGAAGATGATCTAGAAAGTAGAAGATCTAAGTTCAAATCCCTAGCACCCATGTAAACAGCTAGGCATAGCAGTGCACACCAGTAATCCTAATACCAAGAAGGCAGGGACAGGAAAATCCCTGAAGCTTGGAGTCAGCTAGTCCAGCCCAGGTTCAGTGAAAAGATTTTAGTCTAAACAGTACAATGGATTCTCAACTAGTTGCTTTCTACTTTGGACAGGTGCATGCTAAGGGCCTCATAAATATACTGAGGACAATCATGTGGTTCTTTAACATGACCATGTACAAACTAGAAGTAAATAAAAAGCATTGTGTTGAAAAAAATAAGTACAATGGAAACTGAGCTTACTAGTGCATGCCTTTAATCCCCACACTTGGGAGGTAGAGGCAGATGATCTCTGAGTCTGAAGCCAGCCTTGTCTACACAGGGAGTTCTAGGCCAGCTGGAGCTATAGAAGACCTGTCTCAAGCCCCACCCCCAAAGTTTTTGAATTATGAAAAAAAAAGTGGGGAGTGATAAAGACACCAATGTTAAACTCTGTCCTCTATGTGCATGTGCACTCACATATAAACACATACAGCACACATAAAACTACACATGTGACTTGCAGTGGAGAAGGCAGGGGACATAAAGTAACCACTCAACTTTGCTGTGATCCTAAAACCATTTTCAAAAGTAAAGCCTTTCCTAATAATTATCTTTAAGAAAACCAAGTGAGGGGCTGAAGAGATGGCTCAGTGGTCAAGGACATTGGCTGCTCTTGCAGAAGACCTGGGTTCAAATCCCTTACAACTGTCTGTAGCTCTAGTTACAGGGGATCCGATGGCTTCTGTCCTCCATGGGCACTGCACGACAGGGCTGCACTTAATATACATGCAGGCAATACACTCATACATATAAAAAATAAAATTTTTAAAAAAGAAAAGAAAGTGAGGCTGGGCATGGAGGTACACACTTCTAATCCCAGCACTCAGGATGCAGAGGAAAGAGGATCTCTTTAAGTTCAAGGTTAGTCTGGTCTACATAGCCAAAAAACCAAAAACACCACACAAAACCAAATCAGAAAAAAAAGTGAGTTTATGTTAGGTCTCTATTTTCTAGTCTAAACAGAGCAGCCAGTCTTCCATGACCTGCTACTGCACAGTCCCTGGACTCCAAGTTCCTTGTGGGCCACAAAGGAAGTGGCCCAGGATGATGAGCCACTCTATGTCTAGTCTCAACAGTAGCAGACACCGGGTAAGGTCAGCAAACCAGACCCTAGTCAGTTAGGTCTATGCTTTAGATCCAAGAGAATCATGAGGGCCTGAACCCAGACCACCTAGAACCTTAGCACTACACTGCTCTCCAAACACTAGTCACTCTGCCCAAGTATCACCACAAGCATCTATGGAGGTGCTTCAGGATAACATCTCCTAGACAGGCTACCTCTCTCTCTTTACCTTCCTATCAAGCAGATGCAGCTACAGCTGGTTTGAAAATGAATGGCCGGCTGTAGTGGTACACGCCTTAAATCCCAGCACTGGGGAGGCAGAAGCAAGCAGATCTCTGGAGTTCAAGGCCAAGCCGGGTCTACATAGTGAGTTCCAGACAGCTGGAGCTGTAGGGAGACCCTGTTTCAAAAAGTCCAAAAAAAAAAAGATGATGAATGGTAGTATTCAGAAGCTGTGTTTGACTCTGGCCTCCACTACCACATGACGGTGAGTCTATATATATGTGTCTATGGGAATGGAATCATTGCTTCAACCGCCAAGGTTTGTCTGGAAGATTAGAAGCATCAAAGCTGGTATAAGGACTTGGGCTGAAGAGACAGGTCAGCTAACAACTGTCCATAACTGCAGTTCCAGGGGATCTGACACCCTCTTCTGACCTCTGCTGGCACTGCATGAAACAGGTACACTTCTACACATAAAATAAAAATACAAATAAAATATTTTTTAAAAATAGTAAAAAGGCCGGGCGTGGTGGCATATGCCTTTAATCCCAGCACTTGGGAGGCAGAGGCAGGCAGATCTTTTTGAGTTTGAGGCCAGCCTGGTCTCCATAGTGAGCTCCAGGACAGCTGGGACTACAAGGAGACCCAGTCTCAAAAAAGACCAAAAAAAAAAAAAAAAAAAAAAAAAAAAAAAAAAGAAAAAAAAATCAGTAAATAAAAAGGTCTTGACACCAATCAGCTTCTTTCAGAACCTCACTACTTCTAATTATGCCTAGCTTTCGGGAGCTAGGGCTCTTTTTACCCCTTGTTCTGTCACAAACACTCTTAACACTGGATCAGGGATCAGAAAACCATGCCTATAAAGTGACAGTAAATACTTCTGACTGTGGCTCTCCACTGCAACAACTGGGTTCTGCCACAGTTAGTGCAAAAGCAGCTGCCAACGAGTATGTAAATAAGAGTGGCTATGTCATAGCAAATCTTTGCTTCTAGACACTGAACTTTCCATGTTTTATAAAATGGTCTTTTTGTTAACTTTAGGTGACACAACAGGCTGTGCCAGCGTGCCTTCTGAGAGCACACACTATTACCTCTGACCTACAACTGAGCTAATTAGCACTGTAATACAGTTACTTAGTTATCTCTCTCCAGTATCCACCTCAGTCTTTCAACAAGACTGCTGAGGAAGACAGAATCAAAGCCAACCAGGGAAGGGCTGAGATTTTGGAAGGGTATATTGTTGTCAGGCCAGGTAAGCTCCCCTAAGGCAAATCACATGCTCTCATTTGTCAAAAAAAAAGGATGACTTCTGACCTGGCTGGAAGGATCCTGCCAATCTGGCCCCAGTAGGTCAGTAGGTACAGACCAGGGGTTACACATCCTCAAAAAAGCACCTGCCTGAGCTGCACTGAGGAAACTGGGAGTTTGGGAGTGTGAAACCTCAGCCTGACCACAATGGATAACTTAGGTAAGGAAGGTGTCAATGGCTTTGCCTTTCTGCACCTTTATCTTAAACTACTTTTTAAATGCATTCCATGTACCTTAATTATAGATTTTGGATTTCCTCCCCTATCTGTACACCTCCCATAGCCCCCTTGAAGGATTTCATGCACTCTGTCACATATTTAAAATTAAATCCTATGAAGTCAAATTTGTGTCCCCAGACGTACCTTGGTATAAGTTCATCCACTGGAGCCTGGTCAGTCTATGTAGTACCACTCCCTTAAAGAAGATCAACTTTCCCTCACCAGCAGTGATCAGTTGCCAATAGTTCCTCAGCTAAGGTAGGGGCTTCTTATCTATTTCTCCATTTATGTTGGGTCTTTATCTGAGCTTGCACGGACCTTATGCATGCTATTACCATTGCTTTAAGTTCATATGACCAAGTTCCCAGTCACCCGGAAAACTGTTTCCTTGTGGTCGGTCATCTACTACCCATGGCTCTTAGAGTCTTTCTGTCCTCCCTTCCTCAATGGTTCCTGAGCCCTGAGTTGCAGAGGTTTAATATAGGAGTCCTATCAAGGAACACGTACTCTGCAGTCTTTTATTCTCTATATTTCGCCAGTTGTGGCCTTCTGTTTTATAATCACCATCTGTTCCATGAGGAACCTTCAATGGTAAGCTTTTTTCCTGTTTGTTTTTTGTGTATGTGGCATAATACCGTCCTCCAAATGTCAAGTTTGGATTCACCTGCTTGCTCTGATCACCACAAATGAACTTGACTATGGATGCTTGCAGGAAAGGATGGACAGATAGTCATCATGCCTTCCATCCAACCAGGTGGCTTGAGTTGTACATGGGAGAGGGACTAAGGACAGGAACAGGAGAAGTCAGAGTGAGGGGTGTGGCCTTTGCCATCTTGGGCAGCTTCTGGGAGGTCACAAGGGCCCTGCCATGATGTAGAGGGGAGCCCACACCTGCCTACACTTTTTTAATTAACTCCCTCACCCATTTGCTGTTAGGAAGCCCAAATAAACTTGCTAGGATTTCACAAACTGCCGTTTTGTACCTTGCTTTGTCCTTCGGACAGGGATTGGGAACCATGATGACACACGACGGGATGCTCCACATGACTCCCAGAAGGAATTTTAGCAACAGTGTATATGTGATGTAGTTTTAGTATGACATATGCACACCTGTACATGTGCACAGAGACCCAAGGAAAATGCTGGGCTTCGTCACACTTTGCCCTTATTCCCTTGAGACAGAACCTCTCACGAACCTGGAGCTAGGCTGGGAGCCAGTAAGCCCCAACAATCCTCCAATCTCCTCATCCCCTCAACTCCTTCCCACCACTATGGTTAACAGGCCATACCCTATTTTTTTCTTTTTTTTTGTGGGTTATGGGGATTTGAACTCAAGATTCTCATACTTACACAGCAAATGTTCTAACCCACTGAACCACCTCCCCAGCACTTGCATGCCCCTCTGCACAGGTTCTACCTGTCAAGCCTGGAACTCACTATGTAGACCTGGCTGGCTTAAACTCAGAGAGATCCACCTTGCCTCTGCCTCCAGAGTGCTGGGATTTAAGACATGTGCTACCACATTTGGCTTGCACCCTTAACAAAAGCTACATGCAACCTTTTGGCAATATTCAAGAATGCAGTTAAATCATATGACACTATTCACCATGGCCACCGTGTCATTCAACAGTTCTCCAGAACTCCCTCCCCAGCCATCTGAGACTCAATATCATCCATGTTCCCATCCCACCCTACTATTAACATCCATGAGATCACTCTTTTACATTCCATGAGTGAGTGAAACCATGTAGTATTGTCTTTTTTCTGCCTAGCTTGTTTTAAGCCAACTTAGTCTATCCTTTTGATCAAGATGTGCCCATCCTCATCTTCAGAGGTCACTATCTCTTAAAAGCAAAAGGACTACCAGACAACTGTGCAGACTTGCTCCACTGTGGGAAGTGTCCTTGCAACCAATGGCCAGAACCTCACCTTCCTTGCTGAAGCTGCTGTTTGACAAGTAGGCCTGGATGGTGGCATCTTGGAGAATGATGATCACATCACGCATATGGACCTGGGTGGCACTGACACATCGGTACTTTTTGTCTATGTCTGCCTTAATGTCAGTTATGGCATCTACGGTCTTGATTCCTACAGTCAGAAACAAAATGACAGTAACAAAACAAGTTTCTTTTTTGCTTGAGTTAAAAAAAAAAAACCCAAGTCGGACAAGCTGCAAAACGCAGATGACCACAGGAGGAAAATGGAAAAGAGGAAGGGAGTAAGCCATGCCCACTGAGTTAGCCAATATAGATGTCAACCGCATGGCAGGGAGGGGAACATTAGAGAAAAGAGTGAAGAAGTTAAACTACCAGAGGTAGCATACTCAAGCTCTGGCCAGCACCCAAGAGACAGAAAAGAAGAAAAAAGGGAAAGTGACGATTCAGAAAGGCAGAGACACAATGACCTTCGTGCAGCTCGTAGAGACTGTCAGTTTTTTTTCTTTCAGTTTTCCACCTCATCATAGTTAGCAGTCTTACCCTTGGAGCTTGCATTAGGGAACTTCTGTGTATCCGACAAGTTATAAACAAAACGCATGAGCTGGACACGGTAACGTGTTGCATTCCTTGTGAAATTTAGTGTCAGTGAATATCCTCTTTCAAAAGCAATTGTGAGGCTGGGTTCGGAAGCATTTTCTCCACCACAAGAGCTATTGCTATTCAGTACTGTTGCAGAGGATGGCAGGGAAAAGCTCGCGTTCTAGAACAAATACAATTGTGACAGGACCTTGGTGAGAATGTATGCTGCTAAAGAGAGGAAACATCGCAAAGACCTGTATATATACTGATATAAACTTAACTCTCAATGTTAAAGTATTCATTTAAAGCTTTTTTACTCGACAGTGTTTACACAAATTTGTGGGATTCGAGAAAAAAATTGTATATATATAATATATACTATATATTTTTATGTAGACCAGGCTGGACTTGAACTCACAGAGATCCGCCTGCCTCTGCATCCACCACCACGCCTGGCAAGGAATTTGATATAATTTAATATACATATACAGTACATAAAGATTTAAATCAGGGTAATTAGTATTTCCATCTTATGTTTCTATGCCCTGGGAACCTTCAAACTCTTCTAGTTAGTTTGAAATACTAACACATTGTGGTAAGCTTTGGTTACCTCAGTGTTCTATAAGGTATTCCTTTTTTAATGTAACAAAAAACAACATGAAAGTGTCTCTACTACCTATCAGAAATAGTGAAAGTCAAGTTAAGTTTGAGAGAGCTGACTTATTCATATTTTAAACATCTGCTTCTAGGTCAGTGGGGAGTTAGGGGTCTGCTTCTACCTCAGTGTGATGGCACAACCCCTGTGATTCCAACAATCAAGAGACTGAAGCAGAAGATCTCAATTTGAGGCCAGCCAGTGCTACATAGTCAGGAGTCTCAAAAAATAAAATTTAAAAGCAGTCTACTTCTGGGGTTGGAAAGATAGCTCAGCGGTTAAGAACACTGAATGTTGTTGCACAAGACCCGGGTTTGAATCCCAGCACCCACATGGCAGCTAACAACTGTCTGTAACTCCAGTTCCAGGGGATCCGACACCCTCTTCTGACCTCCATGGGCACTGCATGACATGGGTGCACTTACATACATGCAGGCAATACATACATATACATAAAATCAAAATAATAAATAAAATATTTTAAAAATCTACTTCTGGGGCTGGAGCGATGGCTCAGCAATTAAGAACACTGGTTGTTCTTGCAGAAAACCCAGGTTCAAATCCCAGCAACCACATGGCAGTTAACAACTGTCCATAACCCCATTTCCAGGGGATCCAACAGCCTCCTGTCCTCTGCAGGCATTTCATGACACGGGTGCACTTACCTACATGTAGGCAATACATGCATACACATAAAATAAAATAAAATATATATAAAAAATAAACTTCCATTAAATTATTTTAATTTATAACAGAATAAAAAATAAAGTTATCTTGAAAGTAAATGAATCTACACTCAATGTTACTGCTTTTTTGGCTATAGAAATGTTTAGGGGCTGGAGAGCTCAGTGGTTAAGAGCACTGCTCTTAAAGGGGATCTGGGTTTGATTCCCAGCATCCGCATGATGGTTGACAACCGTTCATTCATAACTTCAGTTCCAGGGGAGCCTTCTTCTACCTCTAGGGGCATAGCATGACATGGTGCCCTTACACACATGCAGGCAACACACTCATACATATAAAGATAATAAATTTTTCAAAGAAAAGAAATGTTTAAAAGAATGTGTGGTGGCGCACACACCTTTAATCCCAGCACTTGGGAGGCAGAGGCAGGAGGAGCTTTCTGAGTTCAAGGCCAGCCTGGTCTACATAGTGAGTTCCAGGACAGCTGGGGCTATAGGGAGACTGTCTCAAAAGACAAAAAAATAAAAATAAAAAAGAATGCTTTCCTATGTAGGGTGTGGTAGAGCAAGTCTTTAATCCCAGCACTTGGGAGGCCAACCTGGCCTACACAAGTGAGTTCCATGTCAGGCAGGGCTACACAGTGAGACCCTGTTTCAAAAAAAAAAAAAAAGTTTCCTAGGGTCAGGGATACAGCTCAGCTGGTAGAGCACTTGCCTAGCCTGCATAAAGCTCTAGCTTTAACCTCTAGCACTACATAAATCAGACACGATGAGGCAAGCCTGTAATCCCAGCAGTTAAGAGATGAAGGCAGGAAAAGCAGGAAGTTCAGGCTATTCTGGGCTACATATCCAGTTCAAGGCCAGCCTGGGCAAAAATGAGGTCCTGCTTCAAAAAAATTAAAACAAAGAAAAGAGGTACTCGGATGGCTCAGAGGTTCAGAGCATTGGCTGCTCTTCTAGGGGACATGGGTTGAGTTCCTAGCATGCAGGTGGCAACTCATAACCACCTGTAACTCTAGTTCCAGGTGATCCAGCACTGTCTCTGGCTTCCACAGGCATCAGCCATGCACTTGGTACGTATACATACACACAGGCAAAACACTCATTTAAAAGAACAAAACAAAACAAAAAACCAACCCTCACCAAAACCAAAGAAAAGTAAAGGAGAGGCTGGTGAGATGGCTCAGGGTATAAAAGTACCTGCAGCCAAGCCTGACAATCTGAGCTCAATCCCAGCACACATGGAAAGAAATCAACTCCCCCAAATTGTCCTCTGGCACCTGTACACACGAACACACGCACGCACGCGTGAGAGAGATATGCCATTTAGTATACATCTCTTAGAATATAATTACTTATCTGAAGTAAATGCAACAGATTAAAAAGCTAGAATTAGTTTATTGAGCCTGAAAAAATAAAAAAGCTAAAAAAGTATCACCAAGGGAATGTTCAACAAATTTGCTAGATACAGGGAAGTACTGCACTGGATCTGTAAACATAACCATGAAGAAACCTAGAAAATGTTAAAGCTGAATGGGGAGAGCAGAACTCAAATGGTTTGTATGTGACTATAGCTATAAGCAGACAAGCACTAATAACTGATGACCCTAGAAAACACATGCAGCACAAGTGAAAACCATACTAAGAAAGGATACTTTTTCAAAGATTTAATACACAGAAGTAAAGCATGGATGTCTCCTACCTGTGAACCATGCCCAGTCTCGTAGCTGGTCCAGAAGGTGGCAGAGAAGTTGGCCATTATACAAGCTGTTCCATTGCTGTCTTTCACCACAAATGTTGCTGAGGCACTGTGTGCGAGGCCTGCTACTTCAGTAAAAAGAAACAATCATATACCCATACCCATTTTAAAGTACAACTGGGCAATTCACTGTACTTGGTAAACTAATCAACTAAACAGGTGGGTTACACAGGCTGGTGCCCTGCTCGACTCCTGCAGGTGTCCTGACCCTAGATGTTATATGAAATGCCTCTCCAAAGCTGTCCCATCAGCTTGCCAGACCCACTCCTTAGTGTTTTATCTCTCAAGACAACCCGGAGGAATCCAGGGGCAAGTCTGCAGTGTCTCTCACTGGGGTCCTAAGCTGGTACTTATAGTCTGACTAGTTTCTACTTCTCAGACCAGGGGCATGGCAAGAAAGGCCATGGGATCAATGGCCTGACCTCAAAGAGAATGCCTTGATTCCACCTGTATATGGCTGAGCGACCTTAGGCTCACCCTCAACCCATACACACACATGGGTTTCCCTATTGTGACATGTAGAAACTCTAAAGGTCTTGTAGCTAAGAGCAGCCCTTCCTGAACAATTCCTCTCTGGCTTCTTTAATACTTAGCACTAGGAGGCTGAGGCAAGAGGATCACCAGTTTGCCAGCCTAGACTGTATAGGAGAGCTACCAACAAACAAACAAACAAACATACTAGGAGAAAAATCTCACAACTTTCATCAAGCAGCAAGCATAAGTTTATCACTAGGCAGAAAAGCAATCCTTTGACAACTCACGAGTTTCATTATAATTTACAGATGGGCAAAACCAGTTAGTTCTGCTCATTTTAATGCCATATACCTATCAGCCACCACTGTTGAGTGAATGGTCCAGAACTGACAGACTGTCACCTGTCTCTGCTGCTACAAGGTTATACCCACTCTTCCAATGACACTGACATCATTTTAAGTGTGACTGTCTAATAAGCAAAACACACCTGCAGCCTAATTTGTTGCTCTAACTATAAATATCACAAGCACACTTAGGGTATGGCATTCTCAAAGACAGGCCACTCATCTTTTCATTTGAAATCCTATTCCTGGCACACACCTGTAATTCCAGCACTTGGAGGTAGTGGGAGGTGGATTTTGAGATCCAGGCCAGCCTGGTCTACACTGCAAATTCCAGGCCAGCCAGGACTACACAGTTAAGACCCTGTCTTTTTTTTTTCTTTCTTTAAATCCTATTCTCAAGCTGACAGATCTATAATCCCAGTACTTAGGAGTGTGTGAGGCAGAAAGATCGTAAGTCCCAAGCTGGTGAAGGGGTACGTTACAATGGATTCCAATGAATCTAATTTATTTTTGCAAAATGAAAAAAAAATAAAAAATTTTGAGTAACCAGTATTCAAACCTAAGACTATAACTAGAAATCACAATACTCTTCCTTAGGGTTCTAATAAAGGAAACATCAAAACCTACACTCATGAAGCTGCTACATAAGAGTGTGGCAACCTGGAGCATACTCCCCAAAGCCTAGGCAGTTTATTATAGGGCAATGTTGTATTAAAAACACTTCTGTGGTTATTTATGTGTATCCCTAGGTGAAGCAAGCAGGTGCTAGCCCACCAAGGGTCTGCCCACAAAGACACTGGTGTGCCCAGGACTTACGCCCTCAATCCACCACTTTCTATGTTCCTCCCTAAGACCTAAGCCACAACCCTCTAGCCCTGGTGATGCTGGCTGCCCTGGGCTGGGCTCTGATCTCTGGCCTGGGTTGCCTTCCTAGCCAGTGAACTCCCAAGAGCACCTTACCCTCCTGGGACTCCTCAAAAAAGTATTTTCACACCTCACTCTTATTTTTATCCACTGTATAAATAACTTGCTATTGATAAATGAATAAAAGCATTTCCAATGACTATTAACTCTAAAAACAGAGAAGAGCCAGCAAGATGGCTCAGCGAGTAAAGGTACTTGCCACCAAACCTCACCACCTGAATTTGATTCTTAGGAATCACAAAGTAGGGAAGAACTGTGCCCTGCAAGTTATCCTCTGGCCTACACATAGACACACATGTTAAAAAAAAAAAGAACAACCCCCTCCCACCAAAAAAAAAGAGGCGATTCCATCACAATTCTCAATAGTAGACAGTGGTTTAAAAAAACAAAACAAAACACCCAGTACGGGGGCTGGGGAGACAGCTGAGTGCTTAAGAGTGCTTACTGCTCTTGCAGAGAACCCCAGTTCAGTTCCCAGCATCCACATGGCAGCTCACAAGCTTTTGTAACTCCAGTTCCAGGGAATGTGATGCTTTCTTCTGGACTCCCAAGGGCTCCTGTACATACGAGGTGCACATAAATTTTCACACATAAAAATAAAAATTAGGCCGGGTGTGGTGGCACACGCCTGTAATCCAAGCACTTGGGAGGAAGGCAGAGGCAGGCGGATCTTTGTGAGTTTGAAGCCGGCCTGGTCTACATAGTGAGTTTCAGGACAGCTGGGGCTACAGGGAGACCCTGTCTCAAAAAGACCAAAAAAATAAAAAAATAAACAGAACATGTCTGGGTATCGTGCACACACCTGCAATCCCAGATGCATAGGCAGGAGGATCACACAGCATGAGCAGTCAGTCTGGTTTACGTAAGTTCTAGACTAGTCCAGGGCTATATATGTAGCCCCTATCTCAGGAAAACAAAAGCAAGCATACAAATCAGGACATTCTGACACACAACTGAGGGACACAACTGCAGTGGTGCTACAAACACCTGTAGCCTGACCACAGGCAGAAGGAAGCAACATGCCAGTACACAGAGAATGGGCTCTAGAACCTGAGGTAAGGCTCTGTACCAAGCCCAGGCTTCCTTGGCCTGAGATGTCCTTAGCAGTAAGATTAAATGACATATGCTCAATACAGCAAATGTCCCCATGGGAGCACCCAGTCCAGCTCTTACTAGGCTCTTTTTGTTTTGTTTTGAAACACGGTTTTATTATGTAGCTCTGACTGGCGTGGAACTCAGAGACTGACCTGACCCTGTTGGGATTAAAAGCATGCACCACCAATCATCTCACCCTAAGTAACTTGTTAATCACACTTTAAAATGGGCCACCTGGGGGTGGTGCATCTCATTCATCTCAGGCAGAGAAGGGTGGACCAGGCCAGCCAGAGCTACATAAGGAGACCCTGTCTCAAAACAAAACAAATAATAAACTTCAGTGGTACTACATGCCCTTATTCTAGAAGGCCAGGGAGTCTGAATTATCAAGAAACTTATCCCAGGGGGTTGGAGAGATTGGCTCAGCAGCACACATATATACACACACACACATACATGCAGGCAAAAACATTCATATTCATATATATAATGCAAAAATAAATCTCTAAAAAGAATATCCTACCAGAAGAAAATTTTGGTCATGAGAAAAATGTTAACAAGAGTGTCAGAACACAAGATTATAGGAAAAATATGTCGAAAAATACATGCACACTAAAAATAAGAGTTCTTTAAAATTCCCTAGCAGTGACAATTCGTTTGAAAAAGAAACAAAAAAGCTTTTTTCAAAAAAGATGCCTGCAGCAATCCTAGAACTAGAACAGGAGCACAGGAGCAGCTGTCAGGGACCCCACCTGCCTGCTAATGATAAAAGTGTTCACTTCTCCAGGGGCCAAAGGAACAACTCTGGCCAGTTCTTTCAAAACACTCCCACTTGTAGAATTTCCTTCCTTGCAACTAGTGCTACTGTGGGAAGCACGGGTCAGATGCCTTGTGTTCCTGGCCAGTGGCTCGTCCACCCCTTATGTGACCTTGGGGCTAGTATCAACCATCCAACTGTCAGATTACAAAACTGAGAACAGCAAAGGCTGCAGAACCTGGAGCTTAGTTGTCAGATCACAGAGCAGCCATACAATCAAGGACTTAGACATTAGCTTTAAGGCTAGCTACTGTTATTTAAACATTCAGCTTCTATAGGCCCACTGTTAGCCAAGTTCATTATCTAATCAAAAAGCCAAGCTACTTAACAATCATTTGTGATTTGGGGTCTGGGGACTATCTCTTGCTTCCTTGTCCAGGCTGTCCTGGAACTCTCTGGCTTCAAGTGTGTTGTCACCAGGAAAGAGGAGGGCCTGCTTAACAAGTACTTGTGACCCATTTACTTTTTGACAGGCACTGCTCAAAGCACTTTGCAATTAAGACTGCCATGACAACCCTAAACCGTTGTCACTATTATGATCCCTCCTAAGGTGGAGAAGGCGAGACAATAACTTGTTCAAGGTCACACAGCAAGATAGAGGTGGCCTGCTGACCATGCTGCTTCTCCAGCACTTGGTGAGGGAATGGGCTTCATATCCTGAAACACTAACTTCTGCAGGGATTGCCATGTGATAAACAAATCAATACATTTCTGAGGCTGGAGATAGGGCTCAGAGGTTAAGAATACATATTGTTCTTCCAGAGGACCTGAGTTCAGTTCCCAACTGAACCCCAACTGTAGGGAATCTGACATCCTCCTCTGGCCTCTGCAAGCAATGCATTCATGTTCATAAACCCACAGACATATGGATACACATACATAATTAAAAATAAAATTTTTAAAAATCAAAACATTTCTTTAAAAAATCAATTTTCATCCAGGTATGGTGGTTCACACCTGAAATCCCAGCACTTGGCAGGCAGACCTAAGTTTCAAGTCAGCCTGGGTTACATAGTGAGACCATGTCACCAACCAACCACATTTTTTCTTTGATTCCTTTAAATTCAGTTTCTTAGCCAGTGACACACTAACCACTAGTGAACTGAACAAAATTACAGTATGACCTCTGAGATAGTGAAGGATTCAGTTTTCCACCTGAACAATTGACAAACTTCCACAATCCAGGCTAACATTAACATAAACTTCTCACACTTTTGGAATGCCTCATCCAGAAAGGGGAAGGTCAGGGGCAGATACCAATGAACAGAGTCCCATTAGCAAACCATACACTAGTTTCAGTTCACACAAGGCTGTGCTTTCTATGAAGTATTTACACACAAGGCAGCTTTGAGTAGTTTGTAATTAATGTTGGAGCAATTAATTTGGAAGCCAATTTTTTTTAAAGGTTTCTTTTTGATGAAGTTCTGCATTTAAAATAAAGACCTCGCAGCACTTGGGAGGCAGAGGCAGGTGGATCTCTGTGAGTTCCAGGCCAGCTGGGGCTACCCTCTCTCAAGTGCCTCCACCAAAAAATGGTCGGCAGAAACTACCCAAATCAAGTATCACAGTAAGCATCATAAATGAGTCCAATGTCATCTGTGCCTGTGACACACTGAGGACCCAAAATTACTTCTGTATTCCTGTCACAATTCATAACCTTAACCTGAGCAGAAAAAAAATCTGATAAACCTGTCCTAGTTTCATTTCTGTTACAAAAAAAAAAAAAAAAAAAAAAAAAAAAAACTGACACACACACACACACCCTCAAACCCCAAATTAAGACAGATCTAAAGCCAAGTTGTACCCTTTGTCAAAGTTGGGACATCACTCAACTTATTATATACAGTAGTACTCCAAGTTATCACAACTAGAGTTACTGACTTTTCCTCTCTTTAATTTTAGGTTTTGTTCTGAGGCAATGTCTCACTCTGTAGCCCAGGCTGGACTCACAGAAAACTTACCTCTGCTTTCCAAGTGATAGGATTTCAGGTATGAGGCACCATGCTCCGTTTTATTATTTTTTTTGTATGATTTCACTACTAAGCCCAGGCTGACTTCCGATTCTAAATCTAAATCCTCCAGCCTCAGTCCCCCAAGTTTAACAAATGTGAGCAGCCACAAGTTAATATTTTAAAACATGAAATATGGCAAGTGTGATATCCCACACTTTTAATCTCAGCCCTTGGGAGGCTGAGGCAGGCGGAACTCTGAGTTCCAGGCCAGCCTGGTCCACAGTGAGACCCTGTCTCAAAAACAGATAAATTATAAGGATTCCTGGCCATGGCAGGAATGGAACTCAGGGCCTTTAACTTGGCAGCCAAGGGCTGTACTGCTGAATTACACTCCCCAGCGCTTGTAAGCTTGCCTAATAAACAGCATTCTGACATAACAGACCTCGTTGCTGCAATTCCTATTCTAATGACACCTACCGCTGAAACGTCACAGGTTCTTACCAAGATTCTGGTTGGAGAAGGCCGAGTAAGCGCCATCTCTCTTCATCATCCAAAGAGTTCATTTCACACAAAAAGCAAAATAAAAACGGAAACCAAAAACCCATAAAGTGGCAGTGACAGAGTTTTGGTGATGGATAGAATGAACTTCAGCGATGCTGGGAATTCGCGAGCTGGGGTGCTCCAGCAGTGCAGTCCCTATCTGACCCAGATGAACCCTCGCCAGTCGCCTCTCTTTCGTCCTACAGAAGAGGACGGCACTGCAGCGGTTTAAACCCTCCACGTTATTCGGGGCGAGGCGGCAGGAAGAGCGCCCCAGGAAGGGGTTCAGAGACAACACGCACGCCTCCCACCAAAGGAGAATGCGTGCGAGAGAACAGCCTACCCGGAACTACTACCGGGCTCCTCCCGGAGCAACTCAGGGACCCGCTGGGGGCCCAACCCGCGGCGGCGAGCTTGACTGCCAAGTCCTCGAGGCCCATCCGCGGCCCAGAGCCCGGTTCCCGCCCGGCCCAGCTCCTCCTTCCCGTCCGTCTGGAGCCATCGACCCCGCCCGACCCTTCCAAGGCCCAGCGCTCACCCAGCAGCAGTAGAAGCAGCGGCCGCCGGGCGCCGGGGGCCACCATGGCGCGACGCAGCCGAGGCCGGGGCGGGCGGCGGTTGCGCGTGCGGCGGAGCCGGCGGGAGGGTGACGTCCACCGATTCGAGGGGCCCGGCTCCTGTGGCGCCGGCACGAAGGAGACCCAGAGGCCGGCTGCGCCTGTCACGTGAGCCGCGCCGCGCCCGCAAGTCACGTGAGCCGAGGGTCTCGCGAGAACACGCCTTGCGCCTCCTCCCCGCGCCCTGGCCTTGCTCCCCTCCACACGTGATGTCAGCCGGCACGTGATCGCACCTGCCACGTGATCCCGCGGTCGGCGACCTTTTCCCGCCAGCCTCATCCCTGCGTCCTGAAATGGAAAGTAGGCTGCGGTTTTGGGAAAGGAAAGAGGAAACTGCTCCCGGGAAAGTGCTCATGGAAAGAGGAAACCGGAAGAGCAGTGCAGTGCAGCATGGCACCACGGGCTGATGCCGGCCTCGGTCCACATCGAGGCCCAGGTCCCAGCCGCGGGTTGACAGTGTCCAGGCCGATGGGTCAGCCGTAGGCCAACATCCCAAGCCATTGCCTATGTCCAGCCCCAGGTGGACAGCCACATCCAGACTCATGGCCTAGGCCCAGGCTGGCCTCTACTTCCAAGCATATGGGCTGGGCAGTGAACACAGGACAGGGTCTACATCCAGCCCTAAGTGTGTCCATGGCCTGGACCAGGCCAGTCATTACATGTAGGTGATGCCAAATGATGGGAGTTTGGGAGACCTACTCCTTGTGCGTAGCTCTGTGCTGGGTGGCAAAACATGGCTTATTTTTCCAGGTCTGGTAGCACAGGCCTTTAATCCCAGTCCTTGGGAGGCAGAGGCAGCCATATTTGTGAGTTTGAGGCCAGCCTGCTCTACCTGGTGAGTTCCAGGCCAGTCAGGGCTACATAGTGAGAACCTGTCTAAAAATCAAAGCAAACAAACAAGCAAACCAAAAAAGGGCTAGTCTTTCTTAGTGAGAGGAATGTAAGTTTCTCGGGGAGCACATAAAGTTTCTCCTTTAGGCTGATAGATTTGAAGTCAGGCAAATGTAGCTTTCCACTGCTCTTATCCTGGAGGGAAGACAAACCCATCAATCCACACTGGGCACTGGAGGAGTGGGTACAATATGGTTGAGCACTTTTGATTGTAAATGCTATGCATTATCCTTTTACCATCACATTCTCAGCTGATTGAGAATTTCCATGAAGAACTCAACACTAAAACATCTTCCCCCTTTGTGGAAATAATACTTAATTCCAAAGTTTTGTTGTATTTTTAAAGATTTATTCTTTAAGTATATGTACCTTCTATAAACAGGTATATGTACCTGTGTACCTGTGTATATGTGTGCACCATGTGTGGTGCAGGTACCGACAGAACCCAGAGGGTCAGATCTCTTGGAACTGAAGTTTACAGTTAGTGAGCCACCTGATTTGGGGGCTGGGAACAGAGCAATACTTGCTATTAACCACTGAGCCATCTCTCTAAACTTTTGGTTTTGTTTAAAGACTTGGTGTTTCCGGGCATGGTGGCACAGCCTTTAATTCCAGCAATCTGGAGGCAGAGGCAGATGTATCTCTATGAGTTCAAGGCCAGCCTGGTCTTCATAGCAAGTTCCAGGCTAGCTGGGGCTACTGGGACACCCTGCCTCAAAAAGATTTAAAAAAAAAAAAAAAAAGACATGGTATCAACCTGTAGCCCTCACAAGTCTGGAACTAACTCAACTCAGTAAACCAAGCTGGCCTGTTCTCCTTCTGTCCCTGGTGTGCTGAAATTGCAGGTGTGTGCTACCATACCCAGCAAAATCCCTGAGGTGTTTGGTTTTGATGTGTATGAGTGTTTTGCCTGAATGTATGTATATAAGTGCACATATGTGTGTAAATGCCCGTGGAGGTCAGAAGAGGGCATTGGATCCCCTGGAACTGCAGTTAACAGTTGTTGGTTGCCATGTGGGTGCTGAGAACTGAACTCTGCAAGACTAGCAGTGCTCCTAACCACTGAGCCATCACTCTCCAGAGTTTTACCTTAGGGATTCCTCCTGTTACGATTTTCTCATTCAAGCTGAGCTCTTTCCCCCCTCTCAGAAGTGTGGGCCCAATAATAAAACCTAGAACTATTTATGCAGTGGAGGAGTTGATTCTTAGAACAGAGAATAAGGATCTGGGAGAAATGGGTCAGAGATCAGCTTCTTAACTGAATGAAGTTCCTTTTTAAAAGACTAAGGGGTGGGGGAGGCTGGAGAGATGGCTCAGTGGTTAAGAGCACTGACTGCTCTTGCAGAGGACCTGGATTCAATTTCCAGTACCCACATTGTGGATAACAACCATCTGTAACTCCAGCTCCAGGGGATCCCATGCCCTCTTCTGACCTCTTGGGTGTACTTACACACATGCAGGCAATACACTCATACACATCCCCATAGTGAGGGGCCATTGTCCTTAATATTTACAGTCAGAAGCTGGTGGTAACTTTATTGGGACATGGTAATGAGTCTCAGGGTGCATAGTAGGTCAATGTGGTATCCTTTGTGCCTTAAGCCAGTTTTGCCCAGTTCCAGCTCTACAGCTAACTGGTTACTCAGGAGGAGTCAAGACCCTGGAAATCTGCACAGCCAGCTAGGGGAGAATCCTGCCTGAAACAGAACACTGGCAAAAAATATTGTCTCGTGATTTGAGAGGGTATTTGCATAGTGATACTCTGGTTCTCTTGATTCTCAAGGATGCTAGAAGTGAGAGTTTACAAAAGGGGTGATAGTATGTTTTTGGTATTTTTGAGACAGGGTCTCCTTGTAGCCCCAGCTTGCCTGGAAGTTGCTATGTAGAGCAAGCTGGTCTCTCTCAGAGATTCACCTGCCTCTGCCTTCTGAGTGCTGGAATTAAAGGTATGTGCCACCATGCTAGACCATTTAATGTGTCTTTTTAAAAAGATTTTATTTTACTTTTAAAATTATGTGTATGCATGTGTGCAGGTTTGTGAATGTGTATGCAGGTGCCCATGGAGGCCAGAGGTGTGAGATCTCCCTGAATCTGGAGTTACTAGCAGTTGTGAGACACCCATGGGTGTTGGGAACCAAATTCAGGTCCTCTGCAAAAGCAGTACATGTTCTTAACCATTGAGCCATCTCTCCACTCCCTTCTAATGTGTCTTCACATGTTTCTGTATCTCTCCAGGAGCTGTTCATGAGAATTCTCTCCTGCCAGGGTCACCCCAAGTATCAAATGCTGTTATTTAGCCTCTGAAAATGGACTCATTTTACTGATCATCCTTGAAGTACTTACACCTTTGTCTTTTAATATTTTATTTATTTTTATTTGATGTTGTATGCGTATACCTTTGGTCTTTATGGTTATAAGAAGGGAACCTTCTCACAAGGAAGAACAAAAACTTCTGCTTTTCTTAGAAAGCAGATTTTTAAAAAATACTTTGAAGGCATTTGTGGCCTGAGAAATTGTATAACCTATATTCCCATGGGTATTATATCCTTAGACACACTGTCCATGAACTCTGGGGTCCAAAGTGGTGTTACTGGTGCCAGTTTTTGCTTGGATGTTATTTGGAGCTTGTTCCTCATGGTAGGAGATACAAAATGGGAACTGAAGTCCTTAAAGAAGCCACAGCTCCATTTGTATTCAGGGTTTTAACTGGATAGAGGTAGGGAGGGGCTGAAAGAGTGCCAGGTTGCCAGGCAGTGAATAACCCAGTTGCCATAGGCAGACAGGTTGAAGCTTGCTCAGATCAGGCCTGACAGGAAGCAAAGGATGTGACAAGATCTTCTAACACTCTTCAGTAGTCAAGACATAAGATCTTAGATTTGTTGTGAAAGCTGTGTAGTAGTGTCAGCCTGGCCTCTGTTCCTGCTTCCTTAGCCAGTTTCTTGGCTAAAAGTCAAAATGTCCTTGGGACTCTTAGCAATATACTCCTTTACAAAGGCCAAAAATGTTGAAAGTATTTGGGATCTTGTATCTAATCTTTAAAAGATTTTAGGATTACCTCTTCAGAGGGGGGAATGTTAGTGTACCCAAAAGCAAAAAAAAAAAAAAAAAAAAAAAAAAAAAAAAGAAAAGAAAAAGAAAAAAAGCCAACTCCAGGATGAATTGTGACTCCCACTAACAGCATTTTAGTTGAAGAGCGGGGTCTTCTTGACTCCCAGGCTGTCCAGGTATAAAGAGGCAAAAACATGTCTGGCGTTTTTCTTTTAATTTTACGAATCAGCTGGATTGGGGCTGGTGTGGATTAAGTGGTAGGATACTTGCCTAGAATGCATGAAACCTTGGTTCATTGAACCTCAGCACAGCAAAAACAAAACAGGACTGGGGAGATGGCTCAGTGGGTAAGAGTGCTTGCTGTGTAAGCATGAGGACCCAAATTCAAATCCCTCACACCCACATAGAGGGTATGTGCTGGCACAAGTACCTCTAACCTCAGTGCTATATGAGGTAGAGTCAGGAGGATTGCTGGCCACCAGCTTGGGTCCAGGTTCAATGAGACACTGACTCAAGGAATTAAGGTAGAGAGTGATAGAGCAGGACACCTGGCACCCTCTTCTGGCCTCCAAATGTGAACACATGCACACACCATTTTTTTTTTTTTTAATTCTTAAAGTGAACAAATAAAGTCAGCTTTATTAAGACAGGCCTGTATAAAATGGAGACAACTGTTTCACTGTGCCTTTGATGGTAAACTTCTGTGAAATGTCCCACCAGATGATATGTCAGATGTCTGTCACTCCACACTGTTGTGGAGTTGCTGAGCCGGTGGTTACTAGAGACCAGTTCCTCATGTATGTGAATGTTGAGATCAGTTGTGCCCTGCTTCGTTACTCCATTTTGGGTAAAATGGTGGTTTTTCAGACTTCCTTGCCCTGAGAGACTTTTACAAGCAGCTTTTGACATCATTTTGAGGATGGAGGACAACTTTGCACTTGGGTGGGGACATGAACAGCACCATCTGTTCAAAACTGCCCCTGCAACACAGACTGTTAAATGACTTACTCCTGGGAGTAGAAATGGAACCACCTTGTAAATGTATTAAGGTGAATTGAGATGGTAGGGGCACATAGGCACATAAAATATCAGGGAAACCAAAGCAAGGAAAAGGTGTAACTAGCTTCCTTACCCAGACCCCATAAAGGGATGGACCCCCAGCACTGCAATTGCAGAGGCTCCTACCACCTGTCATCTGAT